GTTGAAGAGAGAGGATGAAGTTGAAGAAGTTGTGCTGAAGAGTGAAGAGGATAGGGTATTAGGGATTTAGGGTTTTTTATTTTTTTAAAAAAATTATCTAATATTAATAATTGTTAAATATAATATAATTTATAAATTAAAATATAATATTTCGGTTTAAACCGAAATACCGAATTCCAAAGTAATACGTACCAAAAATCGAATCGAAATACCAAAAATACAAAAAAATAAACCGAATACCGAAAAACCGAAACCGAAATTTTTCAAAATTTCGGTTTCGGTTCGGTGTTTCAGTTTTCCGATGTTTATGCCCACCCCTAGGAAAATCAACAAAAGTCAATCCCTTTTTGGTCAAGTTTTTGTTATAATACTTGAGGCTTGGTGTTGACTCATGTATTTGTTTATACAAAATAGTATTGATGTATCCAATTATACTTGTATTGCCGAATTAACCTTTCAAATTCAATAGATTACTTATGTATCCAAATATACTTGTATTCAGAAATCAATATTTCAACTTGTGTTATATTAGAATATAAGTATCTATGCATATAAATTATACTATTTACAAATTTGACAATCACACAAACCTCAATCTCTTTTTGTTCATGTTCTTATACTACTTTTTTTTATAACTATAATCATTGTAATATAGTAACAAGTCAATCGAAAGCCTATAAAAATAGATGCAACATATATGCATACAAATATGATCTTCATAAAAACGAGGAGAAAATCAACCAAGTGATATCTGATGAATTCAAATTACAAAAAATTGCTCCTAAAATCATCAAAAAGATCTTAAATTGAAAGAATTTGAGAGAAAAATACATAAATTTTGTGATATAGGAAGATTGATGAAAGAGAAAGTATTAGTGAGGGTAAACATGGGAACCAATCACATAAAATATGCCTAGACATAATAAATTAGGTATGTAATAATAACTTTCTTATTGAATATATTAATAACTTTTCTAATTATTTATATATATAATTAACTTTGCTATATATTGTGTAATTATATCCATATAACATAAAAAAAATGAATTGTAGCTATTTATTTTAAATGTATATAATGTTTATCATATTTTGCAATTTTTCTTTTTTTTATAATTATTAAATTAAATTATAAATTATAATTTAAAAATATCATCATAAATATCAATGAAATAATATTATATGATATTAATGTTATAACTTGTTAATCAAATCCATAAATAAAATTATCTTTATAATATTTATTAAGTTTTTTTCAAGTAAAAGTATAAATATCTATATAGAAATATTAACCTGATTATTTTGAGTTTGGATTCTCTTTAATTTTAAATTTTAATATTATATTATAATTTTAATTCATTTTACTGATCCACGGGATGGCCCACCGATATTTCTCAAGCCCCATAAATCAACAGGCTTATTCTGGCCAGACTAAAAAATCCTTTTTTTAATTAGGCTTCAAAAATCTTAGCTCAACCCTATTAAATCTCGGGTTAGGACAGGTCGGCCAATAGCCCTAACTCATATTGACGGCTTTAGTTTTAGATATAATTGGAAAAATTTTAGAATATGAGTGGTTGTCGGAATAAGAAAAATCCAATAGGATTTAAAAAGAGCAAAGTTGTCTTTTTATTACCCAATTTAATTAATCCATTTTTAGGAATTAATTGGGGTTACCAGACCTTTGTTCAGTTTTAGAAAAAGTAAAACTTACACTAGGGCTCGGAGAAGAGAGAAAGAAAGAGAAAAGAGGAGCGAAATCAAGAACACTTAAGCTTTGCTCGTGAAATTCTTCGGGGGTGATCTCTAAAAAGGTATGTGAGATCTCATATTGTTGGGTTAGTTCACTCAAACGTCAATCTTGTTTAAATTCAGCGAATCTAAGATATTTGAATGTTAAGAAAGTGAGCTTTAAAGAACATTGTTGAAAAATTCGTTGAATTCTTTATAGTTGTGATGTTGAAGTCTCTTGTTGATTTGATTCGTGTGTCCGAGTGAATTTTTGAGTCAAATTTATTAGGTATTGAGGGCACTAATGATCCTAAGTGTTTGGGTAAAGAACAATGGAAGTTTAGAGGGTTTAGAGATGAAAAACAAAGGAGAAAAGTCGGAGATTTTCTAGGCAAGGGCTGGGGCACCGCGCCTGCCAAAGCGCCACAGAAAGTTCTCTGAACTTTTAGAGCTGGCGCCCCGCGCCTCTCAGAGCACCAGGGACACCAGTTCTTCCCATTCTTCCGCCACCTTTTCGTACTAGTTCCTAAGTGTTGTACCTATGTTTCATAGTTGATTCCAACACTCTAAGGTACATCTAAACATCATGAAATCATCCATAAACATGAGACAATGAACCTTGAATCCATAATCCAAGTCAAAACAAAGTTCTTAAAGGTTTTCAACTTTAGCGACGTTTTAACTTTGTTTTTAAGATTCAAGTTACGTAAAGAGTAAAGAGTTGAGTTTATTTCTCAAAAGTTATAAGGAAACTAAGTACTCTCTAAGAGTCTATTAATATTTTCACCTTTAAGATCAGAGGAAACTAAGATTTTCCAAAAGAGTTTGAGCAAGAAAAGGAAACATTGATTCCAAGAGAGTTTTCAAAGCTAAGTATTGAACAATTATCTCAACCCGGAGAAAGAAATTGTTTTAAAACATATGAGCTAAGTATATTTTTGGGAGTTGTATTGAGCACCGATATGGGGATGCGAGTTCATAATAACTCAAGTCTTCATAAACCATGTAGCCATCATGGAAATCAACAGATCATACTTTTAAGATGATTACTTAAGTTAAGTTAGTGGATCCACTAAGTTAAGTAAGGTCCTATACCGATGACAAGGTATATGATGGTCCTCGACAGCGTGAGGCAAAATTTTCTACCATCACTTAGGCTCATAGTAATGGTTGTCGGTCAGAGAATCTCCCACAGAAGTTATATTACTTTAAATGAGTAAAATTAAGTTGAGTATCCATGAGTTGAGTAGAGTCAAGGTAAGTGTTTCCTTCTTACTTCTTTTCAAACTTAAGTTCTTTTAATATTCCAACTCACATACTCGTACATTCAAGTATTGATGTCAGTCTAGAATTGATAAATCCATATATCATGTTTCTGCGGGCATAAGATGGTCTGCATCGTCTTATGATGCAGAGGCAGATTACTAGGATTAGCATCCGGCGTACGTTGATCCAGTGAGCAGCTCAGAATCAGTTGGTGAGTCTCCCTTTATTCCGGAGGACATCTTTTTTAGTTTTCAGTTGTTAGGATGATTAGGGGTCATGTCCCAACACTCCTCTTTATTTTAGAGGCTTCATAGACAGATAGTCTCAGTTTCTTTTGTCTTTTCATTTCACTTATAAAAGATTATGACTTGAGTTGTCATTTTGGCTAAGTATTACTTTTAAGTTATTTCTTGAGTTATCTCTTGTGTTTAAGTCTTTGCTGAGTAAGTAAGTCAGGCCAAGGGTCTGCTCGAGGCCAACAATGGTCTTCTAGTGTTGGCTACGTCCAGAGTTTAAGTTCGGAGCGTGACAGTTAAAATTATTTAAATAATATTTTAATTTAATTAGGAGAAAATAAATCCAAGTAGGCGCCTCATTGGTATTTTTATGTGGAATGTGGAGGTTTACGCAAATAAATGGTAAATGTGACCATAAAATTGGATAATAAAGGCAAATATATCAGATAAGTATATGAAAGACAAATATGTTCCTTTTCTAAGAATATAGGATTAAATATAATCCTTTTCCAGATATATAATTACTCACTTTGCTATAGTAAATAAATTGGAGACGTAAAATATTTTTAGTTTGCTTCACTTTTTCATTCGCTGCACCAAAATAAACACAATGCAATATGAATGTGAATCTGTGAATTCACTTTATTTAGTTTATATGTCTTAAGTTTTTTTTGGAGGACACATTTATATTACAAACTCCATGAACCAATTAATAAAACAGAAAAAATTATGCGGTTAAGTAAATTTATATTATTTAATTATTCATCATAGTTATAGTTTGTTATAATTAGCACTCGCGACTAACATTATACATTAATTACGTAGGTTGACTTTGAGTTTGTATAATTAGTCACGTTTATATATGTATAATTCGCCAGAATATAAAAATGCATATGTATAATATACAATTATCTAACCAATATACATATACAATTTACTTCTCTCCCACTCCCTGCCCTCTCTCACTCGCCTCTCTCCTTTCTCTCTCAATATCGCTTGCCTCTCTCCTCCCTCTCCCAATCTCATTTTCCATATATACAAATGCATATGTATAATATACAATTATATACATGCACAATTCACCTTTCTCCCACTCTTTGTCCTCCCTCGCTCGCCTCTCTCTTTCCTCTCTTAATATCTCCCACCTCTCTCCTCCCTCTCCTAGTCTCGCTCGAGCCTCTCCTCCCTCTCCCAATCTCGCTTGTCATATATACAAACACATATGTATAATATACAATTATCTAATTGATATACATATAGAATTCACCTTTCTCTCACTCGTTTTCCTCTCTCTTCTCTCCGAGTCTCGCTCGCCTCTCTCCTCCACATAACATGTAGCTATAAATTATAATTGTCAAACTATAGCTATGGAAAGCAATTAGGCTATTTTTAAGTGGCTATATGTGAAAGCTTTCCTAAAATAATATTATTTGATGAAAACTCTTATTTATTCCTATAATAAATAAAAATGGTTTATTTTTTCGAGACATTGACTGAAAAGTAAAATTACCGAGAGAAGTACAAAACAACAACGTTTTTACATGTTGCTTGTTGTTTGACTTATATAGTTGAATCCCCCAAGATAAAAATTATTATTGATATGCTCCTAACATCTTGACATACCTATAAGCAAAACAAATTTTACTTTGGATCACTAATTCATGATCATCAATATTCTAACCGTTCGATGATATTTCAATTCGAATAGTTGAATGATATTGTTATTTTTATATCTAACAATCTCAACACTTACCGTTTTAAACAAAACTATTATAATTATTACGATATATTTCCGTCTCGATTATTTTCATCCTAAATCATCGTGAATACTAAATTACATTCATATCGCAAAATGCAATACTAAAATTTTTCACCCATGTTTCATAAAAAATGAATGACAAAGGCTGTATTACAAACCAATATCATTAACAAAAGATTTTTCATTCAATCCAACCTAATTTAAAAAAACCTTAATGTCTACCCTTGTTAGCAGCAGCCTTTGCCTTATTACAAGGCAATCCTTCTTTATCTCCTTTGCAAATTTGTGCAAACAGATTATTTGGATAACCTCCTTGCTTATTCAAGGCATAAAATAATCCAGTTGAACATCCATTTTCGACGTTGTTAATAAGCTCTGCGTACTTGCAAGCTATCTGCGCGAACGCGTTACAACACACAAGAGGGTTGTAGTAAGGTCCTTTGCATGTTCCTGTAATGGGTGTCAAGTCTTCCTTTTCGAAATCAACGGGGCAATCGTCCTTCACATACAACTTTTCAAGAAGGGCACGGCCTCCTAGCATGGCACCATTTAGGGCATCATCTGCATAACAACAACTCAAAAGAGGTTACTTCTATTGATCAAATCATGTATTTGTAATAAGTAAAACATTTATAGATGATTAATTTGTGAATTTAGTTATCGTTTTTTTGTTAATTTGAAACCATTATAAGAATATATAAACTTTTAAAATCTAAAAACGCGTTTATGATGGAGTCTAGTCGGAATTAACACACACAAAGGAAATATTGAAACGAAATAAAAATGGAGGACGATTATGATTGAGTAGTAAGTATCCTTTTCGTTGTTATCAAAGTCTTGAATCTGAATCGAAGAGATGGAGTCCCTGGGGCTGCCCAAGCATATTACTGGTCTAAAGCAAAAATTAAACGGAGACTCAAATTTATAATTGTTAGTCGTTTTATATTAATTGATTTCTTCTAGAAAATAATTTTAACTGATAATATAAACAAATCTTAATTTAAATTATTTTTCATGAGATATAGTACTCCAAACGTATTAAATTTCTTCTAATGATTTTTTTCAATATTTGTTAAAAAAATATATATATAACTTATAACTTATTATTATTAAAAAAAATTGTGGCCCCTCAAAATTGAGGCCTAAGACATCTGTTTCTTTTTTTTTTTAATACTATTGAGCCAATGGGAACGTGTTACCCTAGAGTGAAATTTTTAAAAGGCTTAAATCTAAATTAATCAGACTCCGTCATATCGAGAAGAAGAGCATTGAAAGAAATAAAATAAAATGAGAGTGATTAATTACATGAGACGTGGTTTTGGGAAGAGGAGGCCAAGCCAATTGCAAGGAAGAAGAAAAACAAGAAGAAGCATGATCTTTCAAATGCCATTGTTGCCTCTTCTTCTTCTTCTTATTTTCTTCTTCTTATTTTTTTTTCCTTTGAATATTTTCACATTTTTTCTTCTTTATTTATAATGTAGAGAAATATAGAAAGACGGAGAAACAAAGGCTAAAAATGATTTAGTTTTTTCGTCCATTGATTTGTTCCTTATTATAGGCCCTTAATTTCTCTTAGCTCCAAATAATCCAAACACTATTTTCCCAAGATTATATAAATTTCTTAAAAGTTATTTTCTATAACCAAAATCAGACATAAAATTTATTATGATAATTCATGCTCATCTTTTTTTACCAATATATTTTCCCAAACGACCCTTAATGCAATCTATGGATAAAAGGGCAAGTTACATATTTATAGTCACATTCACATATTAAATATAGATTTAAAAAAATCATACACTATTTAGAGCTTAATAATGTCTCTTCATTTCATTGTTCGAAATTGTCTTTTGTTCTATATGTATTAAAATATTAGTGGATTAAATTAGGTGTAATTTATGTATATAAAAATGATTTATGTGTATACGGATACACTAGATACATGTAATATCTGATTTAAAATTTGAAGGAGTGGTTTATCTGACTTAAAATCTAGTACGAAATTATTGAAAGAAAAGTATCGAAAACACCTCTAAACTTGACTTCAATTATTAGTTTTAACTCCAAACTATTGACGGCATATTATTTGAGATGATTAAAACTATTAAGTATGAGATGATGCACATTCAAAATTCTTGAAAAGAAATGTTAACAATTATTAAGAAATTATATTCACATTTAATAATACATTTTGATTAAATATATTATTTGTAGTTAACATGCTTCAATTAATCTAAATATAATAATGTACTACTCTATATGAATGATACGTATTCTAATTTCTCTGTCATATAATGTGTACGGTATGTATTTATGCATATTTACATTGTATATGTACATGTTGGGTTTGAATAATTATCAATATATACTTTAATTTATTGCATGTTACTTAGATGATATTGGGTGTCAAAAATGAAATCAAATATAAGTAATTCATTTAATTCGCTCAAGGACTCAAGATAATTTGAATTAGATCAATCTCAATTCATTAAGGTTTAACCTATTTTAAAAGAAACTTCAAATGAACCCCAATATAATTTTCACTTTCAACATGTTTTAAGACTCTTTATTTGCATTCGTGTAATGTATATTTCCATATTGAAGGTATAGATTACAATCTTTTAATATCTTTTAGAATATATCAATATATTTATAACTTATTTTGTTTATTTTCTTGAGTTGAAATTCAAACTGTGGTAATAAAAGATAAATAACAATATGTTAAAATTATAAGCAACTTTCACATATAGCAAATACAAAATTCATATTTAGATGTTATAGCGAATTTTGCATAATTGCGCTTCATAGCAAACATAAATATGTATAATTCGCTATACATATACAAAGAAATCAATTGTATAATTCGTTATACATATACAAAGAAATTAATTGTATAATTCGCTATACATATACAAAAGAAAGCAGTTGTATACAAATCAATTGTATAATTTGTGTATGTATAGAACGAGAAAGAGAGAAAGACAAAAGAAAATTGGGTAGGGTAATTTTTGTATTGTATAACTATAAGTGTATAGGACGAAGATATATGTATTTGCAAGTGTATATACAATTTTCTCTCGCTTTATACAAACAGAAACGTAATTATACATTTCTTTTCTGTTTGTATAAGCGATAGAGGCAAGGGTGGCGAGAGAGATTTAGGAGAGTGGCGAACGAGATCTGGGAGAGGGGAGAGAGGGGAACAAAAATATATGTATATATACAATTTTTTTCTCACTTTATACAAACAGAAACACATTTTATACACTTGTGTTTGTATTAAAGTGAGAGGGAGCAAGCGAGAGATGGAGCGGAGAGGGAGAGTAGCGAGCGAGAGTTTGAGGCAGAGAGGTTACTAGCAAACAGTTTGCTACAGGTCACAATTAAATCAAAGTGTGGTTATAGCATTTAATTTGATTTATTAGTTTGTCATTATATACAATTTTCCCTAAATTAATTAGATCAAGCGGATCAAATTGGTCAGGTCATGACCAAATCCAACTTTTAGCCCATTTGAGCTTAGTCCATTTGAACCAAAATAAATTTGGACGGGTCATGACCCAATTCAATTTCTATTTCGGATAATTTTTTGGAACCACATAGTTTTAATATGAAATTATAATCTACCATTCTTTAGTTTGTAATTATGTTAATCCCTTAAAAGGTAACAAAAATCAGATGCAACTGGATACATTAAAGAGTATCTTGGATACATTATAACTTAAATCAGATACATAATATTTAGCTCGGATACATAATATGTAGCATGAATACATTATAAAGTAAAATTGAAACATAATATGTAGCTCGGATGCATTAAATACTGACTCGGATACATTAAATACTGACTCAAATGCATTAATATGTAGCTCAAATAAATTAAAGAAATAAGACATTTTAGAGGTTTCTAGAAATAGAAAGGAATAGTAAAATTCAGATCCCACACACATTTAAGATGATAAATATAAAGTTATAATTATACTTTTTAAAAATAAATTACTTATAGCATATTATTAACAAGTTATAGCATAATCAATTAATTATAGATTAATTAAAAAAATTAATTCATACTCTTTAAAAATAAACTATTTATAGCATATTATTATCAATTTATAGTATATCAATTAATAATATATTAATCAAAAAATAAATTCATACTCTTTAAAAATAAACTACTTATAGCATATTATTATCAACTTATACCATATCAATTAATAATATATTAACTTTAAAAAAATTAGTTTATTATTTAAATAATAATTAATATGTTTAAATAATTACTTTTATTTATTCACTTACCTTTTATAAACCAAACTCTTTAAATTTTTACTGATTAATCAATTACCTTTTAAAGCTTTTAATATAAATAATAAGTTATTATTAATTAAAAATTAATTAACTTCACATTATATAGTTATTTTTTTTTATAAAACAATATCTAAATAATAGGGATTTGATTTTAATTAATTCCCTATTATACGGTTACCCAATAACTATCCTCCCCCATCTCAACCAATACACAATCATCTTCTCCAAATACACTCCATCTCTCCCCATCACGCGCAATCAGTCCCTAATACGCAATCATTTTTTGATCTTACCCAAATCCGGCCTCAATCATCTTCCCCATTCTCCCTCCCTCTCAGATCAGTTCATCCCAAATCACAAACATCCCTCTCATATCAGTTCCCCATTAAGTTCATATAGAATGTTTAAGAAAGGTATATATAATGTTATATACATAATTCATCGTTCTGTATGTAGCGACGTCTTTGATCGATTTTTACTCGAAGGGTGGAGATGTAGGGTCGGTGAGGCGAGTTTTTGATTATTTATTGGTGAAGAGTACGGCTACTTGCACTGCGATTATTGCAGCGTGTGTTAATGTGGTAAAGAGTGAAATTTTATTGAAGCTATTAAGGAATATGTTGGAGACTGATATTTTATCTGATAATTATGTGGTTTCGAGTATCTTGGGTGCTTGTTTGTCGCTTGAGTATATTAAAGGAGGAAAGAAAATTCATTGTTATGCGCTTAGACGAGGAGCGGAGATGGATGTTACGGTGAGTAATGTTCTTATTGATTTCTATATGAAGTGTGGTAAGGTTAAGACTGCAAGGTCAGTTTTTGACTGAATGAAAGTTAAAAACGTTATTTCTTGGACAACGATAATTTCCGAATACATGCAAAATTATTCTGACTGGGAAGCCATAAGCATGTTTAGAGACTTGAACGGTTTGGGTTGGTGAAGCTGCAAAGTAAAGGTTCCTTTTTCTTTAGGATTAGTCAATCCTTTCTGGTGAAGCTGCAGATTCCTCCTCAATTCCTACAAACTCATAGTCACTATTGTACACAAAATTGGTGCGTTTGCTAGCAAATTTATGTCCTACATTAACACTCATACAACTTATTGCTTCACATAATTAATCAATTTCTTCTTCTTCGTCGTCTTCTTGGTGTGTGAAACCAACAAATGATTCTGACTTGTCACAAAAATCTAGTAGTAGAGATCTTGTAACACTCATGTTTGTATGTTGTATAAAATATATTTAACTATATATGTCATAATATATTAATTGTTGTATTTAATGGTAGTATGCTTAAATGAATATTTGCACTTTATTAAATGTGTATGATTTTTGTATAAATTTCTATTTCAATATGCAAAAATATATATATATATATATGAACATTGCATGAAAAATGTATAAATATTGTATAAATTATGAATGTCATACTGAACTTTGATATATGTAACAGAAACAAATGGTATATATATGAACATTGTATGAATACTATATAAACATTTTATAAATGAAAATAAAGTTCAATGGATATATATAATGTATAAACATTGTATGAATTATGAATCCCATATTGAACTTGGATATATGTAATAGAAACAAATGATACATATATGAACATTGTATGAATACTATATGAACATTGTATGAATACTAGATGAACATTTTAATAATGACAGTATAATTCAATGTATATTTATAATGTATAAACATTGTATGAATTATGAATGTCATATTAAACTTTGACATATGTAACAGAAACAAATGATATATATATGACAATTTTTTACGAAATCGAACTTTATAAATGTCAATGATAACAACTGCACTCAATAAACAAAACGTGTTTCTAACATTCAAAACAACACAATAGCAAATGTAACATAAATCATTACTTTTGCACAGGATAATTTGAACATGTCTTTCTATTGTGTCCAACTTGACGACATCTAGTGCAAGTCATTTTTGTCCTTTTGAATTTCACGTCAGCCGACCCCTTCCATCTTTCAAGTTTTGGTCTACCCGTTGTACAAAATTATACAAAACATATATTCTAATTTCATTAGAAACAAATAGTGTAATTTTGAAAAAAAATAAATGGACTTTCATACACAAATGATACACGTTTTGTATAATCTTCATACACTATTAAAA